TTGCAAATGTTAAAGAAACACTTTTATTACCATGGTACAAATTGCTTCAACAGCAGAATTCACAGCTTCTACACTGGAGCTTGAGGAGTCTCTGTCCCCTGTTTGGCTCCATCCCATAACCCTTGCCCTGACCTCAGAAAGCCAAGGTGATGTTGCCTGACCAGGAAGCTTTGAGAAAAGAAGTGAATTATTCAATGTTTTGCATCAAGGCCACTTAAAAATAATTTCTACCTTGGGGTCAGTGTAGTTCAAGGTTGGAGTTGATGTTTTTATGCTAATTTCCAATTTTTTCTCCATGTACACTGTATTCTTTAAACTGTATGAGGTATAAAGTCTAGGAGAAATAGGAAGAAATTATATTTAATACAGATGACAGTAAATGTAAAAGTAACATCACCCTCAAAAGGTGGTCCTAGCATTAATGGACCCTAAATAGATCTGAACACCTCTGAAAATGACGGAGACAAGTAGTAATGAAGCCATGGTGTGAGTGTTGGACCATATCTTTACGTCTGATCCAGGCTAGCAAACATTCCCATGGCACCACCCTCAGAATCCCTGTTGGCAGCAGGACTGAGTGAGATGGCAGATGAGCATGGCCCTTCATGGGCTGCCCACTTTCGCTGTAATGACGGTGAAAATAGACTTGCCAAATCACTTTGAGAGAGTCCTTTAATTCCATCCTGATCAAATTTTACAGGTTGTGATTCAAATTATGCCACGTTGTCGGCTGCAAGACTTCATCAGGAATGAATTTGTTCTGCTTGGCCTCCTTAGTTAGTATTCAAGAAAGACCTCTGTGATTAGCCAAATCAAAACCTTTCAGCGGCAGCCCAGACACATTCAGACGGAATCTCGCAGCTGACTTTCCTAACAAAAACATTACCTTCTCTTTAATCAAGGGCTAAAACACATGATTCTCTTTCTCATTTTCAGTAAGTAATCGAACTGTGAGCTAAACGCAGAATCTGGAGGGGCTAAGAACCACACCCCTACCCTCCCTCTTCAGGTGATGGAGTTGCGCCTTCTCTCTTCTCCAGGCCACTCCCACAAGCTCTGAGGTCCTCCATGCAGCCTCCCGCTCACAAGGACGCAAACGAGGCCTTCAGAAGCCTTTTGTGGAGTGGAGGTTGGGCGGAAGGGGGCTGGGGACTGTGGAACCCAGGCAACTCAAATTTGTTGGAACAATGCCAGCAGGAGCCCACCAGGGAAGTCTCTGCCTGACCAAACAAAGGCACTTCTACCCCACTTAGCAGCCAGAATCTGCTTTAGGTTAATTGCCCTGCTTTATTGCAGAAAGCTCATTTCCCAGAGCCCCCAAGAGCTATGCTCCCCTCCGCTGTGTACACACTGGGCACATTTCCCTGGGTCTTAATGGAGATTCTAAATGCCGTCGTGCAGTTGCCTCAGCCTTTCCCCCCTCTTTTTTTCTTGTTTTAAGCTCATTGACTGGCATCTCTCCTAGCTTAAGCATGCATACAAGTAGCAAATTCTGATTTCTTGTTTCATGGGTGGTTAGCTGTTTATTGTTATCATTTGCTGGCTGGCTAAGCTCTTTGATGGCTTAAGACAAGTAAGTACCTCCCGTTTATAGCAAGGAGTACCTCTGATGGTTGGGAGCTGTGTGGGATGCGAGCTTATTTAGAACTCTGGTGTTTGTTCACGGTTTTGTGTGCCCTTACTTCTGCCTCAAAAGCAGCAATTAATCAAGACATCTGACCAGCCTTCCAGGACAGCTATGGAACATCTTGTTGCCCTGAATCACCTGCCCCTCAGCCCCAAAGGGAGTCATATTTACTAATACTGCAGGAGATGCATTTTGGGGATGACCCCCACGTAACTCTACTCATAAATGATTTTCCCCCCTAAACATTTATATTTCCTGCCTGATTCTTTTTGCGACAAACTGCCAACTGTTAAGTAGATGCCAAAGGTGAAATCATAGACCATTAAAACAATAATAATAATAATAATAATAATAATAATAATAATATAGTTAATAAGTGCTGTTTATTCATTTTTCTTATTTAATCTTCATAATAACCATGACAGAGATAACTATTCTTATTTTATTAATGAGGAAGTAAGCACGAAGAGACTAACATACAGCTGGGAAGAGTGCAATGTTATTAGCAGGATTTTTTTCCTTCCTGTAATTTCCACCTTAATCTTGCAAACCCAGAAGTGTGTTCATCATCATCCAATGGGATTTGAGAAAGAAATACCCAGACTCTGGCTTTTGTGCACTCGCAAACCCAAGTCTAGTAATGTAGTATTGAAAATAGCAAATTAGAAATTTACCTTTAAGGGGAAATATGGCAATTAGGATGTAAAGGGACCCCCCCCCCCCCACACACACACACACAACCCTGCAGACTAGAGAACAATCCTGCCAGTTTAGCTGTCTGTGTATGTGTGGTGGAGTGAGAAATGAAAAAATAAAAAGATGAAAGCAGTCCTGAACTGAGGATCTTGCTACCTTTGAGAGAACCTGGGGAAACGTTAATTGGCAATGATCTTGTGCTGCACATGCGACCATGGAGAGCCTAGGTGAGAATCGCATCAGAGGTCACAGGCAAACTTGACTCTGGAAGTCAAATTTAAATGAGTAAATGAATGGTTTTGCATGAACAAGACGTATGTTAGATGCTCACTTCATATTTGTAAAAATTAGAGATGTAGATCTGGAGGGAAAGTAAACTTTAATTTAGAAATCTGGAGTTTGTGGTGGAGCACAGCATCCAGGATGAGACATCTAGAAAGCAAGTGGGAGATGCAGTGATGCAAACTAGGCAATATCTGGACTACAGACATAATTTAAGAGTTAGCATAACGACATGAAATGTGATCATTGCACAGACATTTCAAAGAAGCAACAGTTACGTCTCAGGCTTTTTTATTCCCAATTTCTTAAATAATTCCTGGCACATTACTGATTGGACTCATTGGTCAAATATGTGAAAAGAATAGTCAGAGACACAGGGAAGGAAGTCAAATACCGATCAAACTCTGAAGTTTTCCAACAGAATTAGCTCAAAAGCCACTTTTAGGAATCTTTTTCCTTTTCTCGTCAGAACGAATTCTTCCCTTTTCTCTACTCTCCTGTCATGTAGTATCTATATTACAGCACTTAATACATTATCTCTTACTTTATGGTTAATTGCTTTAAACCCCTTTCTCCCACACTAAATTCTGAACCCTTAGAGGCCACCTGTCAAATCGTAGTATCTTCATATCCCACCTTTCACGGAGCACCTGCTTTATAAAGAGTAAGTACTTAATGCAGGCTTATTGCTCTGGCTTGGACTGAGTTGACTAGAACTATGCTAAAAGTATTTTTACCTAAAAGTTAGAAAAAAAAATATATACCCTGGTAACCTACTATACACTTTTCTGTAAGTGGCGTACACCGAACTTTAATACAGCAACTATGATTCAGTTTCAAACATTTATCACTGTTTTGCAATTATCAGAAGGTCTAGCAAACAAAACCAGCAATGTGGTTTTTTTACCCTATTTATTTGTCAAACCAGAAGCAATTAAAAAAGTAGTCCTGCGAAAAAGAACACTTCACCTAACAAAATTGCCTTTGTTTGTTTGAGATTTCAGGTATATTGTGTTTGTGAAGTAATCAGTTTGGATTTAGTCCATCTCTTTGTTAACTAATAGATTTCTTCTTTCTGTTTAATAATTATGGTAAAGACTATCTCTGAATAACCGTGGGCTTATTTTTTTTTAAATGATAGCTCTTAAAGCCTTGCTTTTTACCTTTAAAAAAATAAAATAAAATGAAAGCCTAAATTGCTCTCATTGTGTCGCCTAAGCTGTATCATGCATTAGGAAAACATTCTACTGGAAAAAATAGTAAATGACTTTCCTAGCCACATGCCTTCTGTTTAACTAATGACCCGTTCAGAGGCGCCCTGATCAGTTCTTGCTTCTCCAGGCATATAGATGATGTAATGCATGGATGGGAGCTATACTTACAGCACTCTTTTTTTTCTTCTCTCCAGTGATTTACAGAAAGTCACCTTTTCAACTTGTCTGCAAAATATTTTATTAATGAGGCTCTCTGAAGTCAAATTATAATCTGTATTAAATGAAAAAATCCAACAATGTCTATTATTTCCCCCTCTGTATTAGAAAGAGTTTATTTTCTGGTTTGCTGATTTCTCTGTTATTTTGTCCTAAGATACTCATGCTGTTCGAATACAATAACTAAAAAGTAAGTTAGAATTACTGCCTGTGAATGAATAAGTACCTCTTTTGGTGAATCAAGCATTCAAATATATACCGCCATTTTAGAACATAGAAATGACTTTTTAAATGAAAATTATAACTGATCATAGTAAAGCATATGGGGTTTTTTGTAGTGGTGGTAAGAGGGAAAAATCTTAAAATGCAGTAATGTCTAACCAGAGAGGGCATTATATTTCTGTAGCTAAATGCTGCAAACTAGAGACAATTGAAAGGCTATATAAATAATTACACTTGCTCACAGACCTATTCTTATAAAATCTAATTTTGAATGTTAAACAAAATAATGTAACATCTATCATATTTTTCTATGTTTTGCAGGGAGGAGGGTTATTTGTTGTATGCTTGTCCACAACAGCCCTAAGAAGCTACAAAAGTAAAAGCTGTTTCAAGGACATTTCTCCTGCTCACTTATCTTTCTTATGTATTCACCTGTTTCTGAAAAAACTTTATTATTAACCTCTCTGCTCCATCAAAGAACCCTTTTCATGATCTTCCTAATGTAAAACAGCATCCTTTCTCTATCACCTTGTCTTGCTTTATTTTTCTTCCTACCACCTATCATTATCTGACATTATATATTTAGAATTTTATTTGTTTATTATTTGATCTCCACTAGAAGGTAACTTATATGAGACTAACAGTTTTTTTCTGTCATGGTCACCACTGGATGCCCTGCCTATATATATGGGATTTTGAATGAATAAAACCAATGTGTTACTTTTAACACCAGGAAAAAATAAACACCAAAACACAGCTGAAACTTGTAAAGAGAGCTAGAAACAAGGAAGAGAAAAAAGCAGGGGCTATTAATAGAAGCCGCGCAGTGAGAATGTGGTTCACTCGGACCTGGTCTACAGACAAACACAGCAGCCTCACCACTGAAGAAGAAACCATGGGCCACACAGATGCCAAGCTACCCTGCAGATTTCCCCAGCCTCTGCTCCACAGGTATGCACATTCACTGGTGCCAGCCCCCTAAGTCCCCGCCCACTTCCTCTTCCCTGCACCCTTGGGAACCCCAGAAACCACCCTGGCAGCTAGCTGAGACCTACCTCTGTGGCTGCACCAGTGTGAGAAGCCACCTAGAACCCCCACTGTCATGTGCACACTCCGGGCTAGCCCCCGAGCTGTGCACTCGCATGCCTCTAGCACGGCCCTCTACGCTGGCCACCTCTGCATTGCACAGGCCCAGGGGAGACCGTGCAGCCACGGGGAAGCAGGCCAAACGCCAAAACCCCGCAGCTGCTGTGGCCCCAGATCAGGCCCTGTCTTCTGTCACTGGCATATACCACCGCACTCAAATGTAGCCACCCCAACTCTCAGCTGTGCACCTGCATACCCCAGCCCAACCGAACCCTGTCACCCATCAGCTGCACTGCAGTGGGCACACATGGGGGAGATTACACAGCCCCAGAGGATTATGCTAAGTGAAGTAAGTCACACAGAGAGGCAAGTACTGTATGATTTCTCTGACAAGTAGAATCTAAAGAGTTGAATGCATAGGAACAGGGTGGAGTGGTGGCCACTGGGGGCTGGCGGGTAGAGAAGTGGGGAGTTATTGCTTAAAGGCACAAACTTCCAATTATAATATGAAGATCTACTGTACAGTATAGTGATTATGGTTAATAATACTATATTATAAACTGACAAGTCTAGAAGGGAGATTTTAAATGTTCTCACCACAAAAAAAAAAAATACTAATTGTGTAACATGGTGAAGGTGTTAGTTAACAAAATTGGGTACTCATTTTGCAATATATATGTATCAATTCAATATATATACCTCAAATTTATACAATGCTATATGTGTAATTACACCTCAATGAAACTGAAAAAAGATGAAAAAATAGCTTTTTCAGGGAAAAATAATACATGCATATTATTATAAATTCAAACAATGTAGAAATTTACAGAGAAAAATCTAATTATGTGGGGATTTCCACCCTGAATATATTTGCGTAATCTTTTACAATATGTCTGCAATCACAGATGCCAGGTTTTTCGATGAGAAAGGAGTACTATCTGAAAGTGGGAAATGAGGAGAATGTCAAATTCATGCCTCAACAGTGAGAAAAGTGGGTTGTAGGATATTGCAGTCTTCCACCTAAAAGGAAAAACAATGGTTTAAAGCAGTGGTTCTCAACCTTGGCTGCACATTAGAATCACCTGAGAATCTTTTTAAAATCCTGATTTCTGGGCCCCATCCTCTGGAAATTCTGTTTCTTTGTTATGGGGTGGGGCCACAACATTAGTAACAAAGAAACAGATTTTCTGGAGGATGAGGCCCAGAAATCAGGATTTTAAAAAGATTCCCAGGTGATTCTAATGTGCAGCCAAGGTTGAGAACCACTGGTTTAAAGGGACAGGCATTGTATGTTAAGGAAACGAGTGAAGATAACTGTCTTTGTTAGACTGTGATCGTGATTATATGAATGCTAGTTCATCATAGACTGTAGATTTCAGAAGACATAGAATATTTTTCGGAAACTGGAAAGCTGAAAAAGGATGTGTGTGGTAAAGAGAATATAAAACTGGGTCAGCTGAGAATATGGGAGAAGAGAGATAATCAGAAGGGTTCCATCTTGGTCATCAATGAGGAACTTGAGATCTGGCAGATGTGGCTACTGCAAGGCTGGCAGGAAATTCATCTCTGTAACCTGTGCATAAATCGGTGGACCTGAGGGTCTGTTGGGATCAGCTGCCAGGTGGTCCTTGTTCCTTCTCTCGTTCACTCAAAATAAGCTTTGAGCAACTACTCTGTGCCAGGAATGATGTGAGTATATATGGCAGGGGTCCTCAAACTTTTTAAACAGGGGGCCAGTTCACTGTCCCTCAGACCGTTGGAGGGCCGGACTACAGTTTTAAAAAAAACTATGAACAAATTCCTATGCACACTGCACATATCTTATTTTGAAGTAAAAAAACAAAACGGGAACAAATACAATATTTGTATTTGCATGTGGCCCGCGGGCCGTAGTTTGAGGACCCCTGATATAGGGTATGAACTGATAATCAAGGGGATCATTGTCCCTAACCTCAGCTTGAATATAATGCAAAATAGGATGTGTTTACAAATGCCACTGAAAGCCTGTGAGTGGACCAGCACACAGCAGTCTGTTCCCTAGTAGACAGTTTTCATAAAAGCAATCCAGTGAATTGGGGACCCAGGAAGGAGCAATGCCATCAGATCACAGTTTTAGATAAAGGAATAAAAAAGCCCAATATCTCCAAACCAACTCAACATAATCTGGGCTCATTCCTTTATACAGACATTAGCATTTTTAGAAGTTTTAGCAAACACACTCAGAGGTGCACATGCCTTAAAAATTTGAGAAAGGTAAGATACCAAGTTACACGCATTACAAACTTCAATCTTTTATGTATGATTATTGAATACTATTTAATATACAAAATACCTTTAATGTAACATGTTATCACACATCCTCATATTTCAGACATGTCACCATTATTTCAGGCATATGTAAGAAAAAAAAGTCATGGATGTTTTGACTTGTGATTCATTTCACGAAGACATAAAGCGTGACTTTGCAAAACTATAGCAATCCATCATATCTGACACAAACAGCAATACGTGTACACAGAGAAGTTGCTCAAGTGCTTCAATACACCTGTTCAACCCAGAAACCCCTAACAACCATCCATGGAAAATTTTCCTTTATCAATTACTATCTTATTTCTGAAGTTTTCTTTTCTTTCAACGATAAAATTATAATACCCTCTCTAAAAGAATATTCGACAATTTCATACATTTATAGTTTCATCTTAATAGTTTATTCTAAATATTTTTAAAATAGCCTGTTGGACTGAAGACCTGAGATTCTTAAATTTTTACTGACATGGTTTATAACATAACATAAATCCATAGGTAGTATATAGTTTTTTTCATGTTTAGGAGCTGATGGGCTGTGGTTGAATGATAGTTAGTCCTACACTAAGAAAAGGTGATATGCTTGGCAGTGAGGAGGATAAAAAGCTTTTGAGTTTATTCCAGGACAGCCCTTTTACAAGCAGTTAGGTTCCAAGCTTTAGGAACATGTCTGTGAGAATAGGCACCACGGGGAGACAGAGGAATTGCAGATGGAGAATGGCAGGTACATTTTATCATCACAGAATGAGGTCAATTGTTCACCTTTGTGGACGTCTGACCCTGTGGCATAAACGTGCAAGTGGTCCCTGGGAAAGACTACCAGCTGGCTCACCATAGGCTGAGAAAATTAGAAACACTCTTCAGACAGATGAGGATGAAAGTGAACCAGTAGAGAGCTCTTGTTGTTTGTTTGTTTGTTTGTTTTAAATCAAATTTCTGATTACTACTTTCTTAGGAGCTTGCCTTTAGGTAATTTGTTAAGAATCAACAGAAAATTTCTCTTTGAGCGGAACTGATTTAGATTCACTACCTGGACAGATGGCTGTTTTTCACCTGCTAGTCCTGCTAGTGGTTATGCAGGCTCGGAATAAGCCATCATTTTAGGGGCCTTTACTGAGCAAAGAGTGTCATTCTTCAATCCACTTGCACATCCTTTAAAAAACTGTCTTTATTCCTAAACTGAAAGTGTGACTTTAGATATAATAATTCCCACAGAAAAGAAATTCTGGAAAGAATTCTAGTCAAGGGGAAGAACGAGGTCTTAAAACATCCTTTCAGTCTTTTTCCATAACATTTAATTTTCCAAATAATTACATTATATGCATTTCTCTTTAAAAATATATTGCTGTCATTCAGTAGATCTCCTGAATATTTTCTGAATCACTGTGCATAAAATTATGATATAGAATGGCTTAATTATAAAATTATGTAAAGAAATGATTTAGACCCTAGTCAAAAGTAGTAAAATCATATATAAAAATGTCTCATGTGTAACAATTTCCTGGATGCAGAAAAATTCCCTTTCCCAGAAGTTCTATTCATTATTCAGAAGTTCTATCCATTATTAACTTCCCTCCAGCCTTCAACAAGGAAGTAGATACTTACAATCCACTTAACATTTCAAATTAATTAAAATATTAAAAGCTGGCTAATTTCTGGAGTGTATGCTGATTGTTTATGGAACAAAATATGCAAACTACTTTGCTAAAATGGTTTTGTTTGTATTACACATCTTCATGGTTCATTTACCCCATTTTTCATGTCAGCATCACACTTCCTTTCTTGCTCATACTGTGCCCACCATCTGAATGGTCAGAGTGAAGAGAATGCAGGGCAGTGGGCCAAGCTTTAGAAAATGACTTCATCTTCTACTTACCCAATTCTTCTAAAGCAGGGAAGCATCCAGATGGTCATCAATAACTGAGACAGCCACTGCCTCCCTTACAGAGCCTAATGTGTATGAGCTGAATCAGAAGCAAATTTCCCTCTCAGCCCAACTTCAGCATTTTTCTTTAAGAATCCTTCTGGTCGGCTTGTCGCAGCACATGCAAATCATAAAAATCTGAAGCTAATATTGAAAGAATAGTGACTGCTTAAGAAAACTCATGTTTAAATGTAATCCCCCAGAAGACTGTATTAGTTATACCCCAGTGACTTTCTATTCTTAGGAAATAATATTATTTTTCCAATTAGACTTCATCAGAAATAAGCTAGAAGATGCTTAAAGACATAAATTTTGGGGAAATGTGTTGAAAATAAATTCTTCTTTTGTTAAATAAGCATTAGCCATTTTTAGGTAAATGTTTGTCTCTGTATATCAGACTTACTACACAATAATGGTGCTAATAGGTATAAAACACCTATTATGTGTCAAGAATAGGATTACATCATTAAATCCTTCTACCCAGCCAATATGTCAAGCAATGATACATGTAATGAAACCAGATTCAGAGAACTTAAGTGACTTGTCCAAGGTTTCACATCAAGTAAGTGTTAGAGACAAGATTGAAGCCCACAGAAGTCTGAGGTCAGACTGCACTCAATCATTATAGCACAACTCT